CCCATCCTCCCTTGCTACCAGCCTTCTTCTCTTTGAGTACAGCAGGAAAGGCTCCTCTCAAGGCTTTTACTACTGCTGTTCCCTCACCGAGAATGGTCTTCTGTTAGTCCAAGTCTTCCAAGAGGCAGACACCAAGATGGGATTAAATGTGCCTGAATTTTATTAGAGGATTTCCTATAATGCAAGTCTGACCCTGGTGAGGGGGAGAGGGAAGGAAGGTTGGGTGGTAGCATCTTTGAATGCCACATACGCTATGGAAGTTTCCATAAAGCCCTCAGGGAGTTCTCAAGCCAAAGTCAGCTGGAGAGTCTAGGTGTCCCAGGAATGGGCCTGCCTTGATGCTGGCACCCCTGAATCTTGTGGAAGTCAGAATTCTGCAAACCACCCCCAAAGATGTTCACATCCTCATCTCTGGAACCTGTAAGTATTACTTTTTTTTTTTTTTTTTTTTTTTTTTTTTTGCCAATGTAATGAAGGTTAGAGATCTTAAAGTAGGGAGACTCTCCTGAATTGCAGACAAATCCAACCACATAAACCTTAAAAGAGAAAAACCTAGTGAACTGTTGTGGGAATGCGGGTTCTTTAGGAGCCAAGAAGCTCCAGCGGACAGTCAGCAAGAAAATGAGGACTTGGGTCCTACAGCTGCAAGGAACTAATTCTGCCAAAGACCTCAGTGAGCTGGGAAGCAAATTCTCCTCCGAAACCTATAGATAGAATTCTAGGCCTGCCTACGCCTCGATTTTAGCCGAAGAAGCAGCCAAGCCCATCCAGGCTTCCTACCTATGGAAACTGTGCGATAGTAAGTTTGTATTGTTTTGAGCAACAATGTTTAGGGTAACTTGCTATGGTGGCAATAGGAAACAAACACACCCTGTAGCTGGAGGTCTGTGAGGCACATTCGGCAGGCCTCCATTCCAACCCATGGAGAGGCACAGCCCAGCCCTTTACTCCCGAGCCCTCCCCTGCCTCACTCTCTACAGCATGCATATATCACTTTTTAATACTCCTTATCATTTCCTGATTGGTTTGGCTTATTGCTGTTATCTTCCAGAAGGACAAAAATTTTCATCTGTGTGTTCACTGATGGGCTTCTGACAGTGCCCAGAACATAAGAAAATGCTCTTTAAAACTGAAGGAATGACTATCAATACTCTAGCATTGGCATTTGGTCTGGATTATGGTAGCATGCACTTAATTAAATGCATGGGACGTGGGTCAAGAAGTCCAAGTACAGAAGGATATAAAGCTAGGGGTGCCTGGGTAGCTCAATCGGTTAAGCAACCAACTCTTGATTTCGGCTTGTGCCCTGATCTCAGGGTTGTGAGATCCAGCCCCGTATTGGGCTCTACAATGGGCATGGGCTCTTGAGATTTTCTCTCTCCCCTTCTGCCCCTTTCCTCTAAAGAAAAGAAAGGAAGATGTAAAGCTATAAAAGCTATAAAAACTGAGGATCAGTGCCATCGATCTGCTATCTTCCTACCTAGGAATCATGTGGTCACTGATCATCAGAGTGACAGCATCTTCTATGTGCATGCTCACAGACTGACTAGTACTTTGCTGAGAGGGCCACCTCCTACAAATTTTTTGGCTCACTCCTTGGCAAGGAGATGGCTAGCCCCTTCCCCTCTCCTCCCTCCTTGGGTATCCTGGAGCTACCCACTTAGTCCAAGAGAGCTGGTAAACCCTGTCTTTGGCATTTTACAGCTTGCAAATCACATTGACACCTGTGATCTAGTTATATTGATGAGGTCATTCACCTTGGGTCCAAGTGATACAGTCTACAATTTAGAGATAAACTGAGGCTCAGAAAGACAGTCATTTGCTCAATATTATGCAAATAATTAGAAGCAGAGCCTGCACTCAAACCCATAATGTCCAACTTCAAATTCCATGTTGATCACCTTGGGACAACGTGCCTTTTGGCTTTGGGCTTGACTGGTTTAAAAATGATGAATGAAAAAGAAGGCATGGGGGAACAGAGAAATCAGTTTAAGAGAGCTAACTGTAGTAGAGTAAGAAAATTTTGAGAAGGGGAAAAAAATTAGGGCATAATAAATTTAGGAAGAGTACCAAAAAGCTTTATTTTTGAATATGCCTAAAAACAGACGACATGCATTAAATATGTACACAGTCACTGGTGATTCACCCATATATTTCATTAACCTGGACATGACACTGGGAAGATCCTAATGAAAACCATGACTCTACATGCTGAGTACAACATGAGGAGAGAATCATAAGCATTGCTGAAGTCAGAACATCTTAAATTATCTCACCTCAAGGTCACTGTGGCTTACACCTGCCTAGAGGAGAGCATCAGGAACACATATCACCAGGGTTTCCTCATATCCCATGCTGATCACAACTCATTTGTCTTCTAAAATGGAGGCTGCTGTGGGGAGTCTGGGTGGCGCAGCTGGTTACGCATCTGACTCTTGGTTTTGGCTCAGGTCCTGATCTCAGTCCTGATCTCAGGGTCATGAGATTGAGCCCCACGTTTGCTTGAGAGTCTGGTTGAGATCCTCTCTACTTTTTCCCTCTCCCCCTCTTATACTCTCTCTCTCTCAAAGTAAAGAAAGAAATCTTTAAAATAAAATAAAATATAAAATAAAATGGAGCCTGCTATGATTGTTCCTATAACATGGATGGTTAAAAAAAAACATGGGGAAGGGAAAGTTATAAAATTAACAATTGGTCATTTTAGAAAATTTCAAAAATAGAGAAAAATATAAAGAGTACGGAAAAATATTGCCTAAAGTGCCACTCTCCAGAGTCTCTATTAACATTTTAGTATACCTCTGCCCAATTCATTTTGTGAAGTTTCGCACACTTTAAATAGAAGGTTATAAATAAAACTGAAGTACTTTAAGGAGGGCACGTGTTGGGATGAGCACAGGATGTTACACGCAACTAATGAATCATTGAAGACTACAACAAAAACTCATGATGTACTATGTGCTGGCTAAATGATTATAATAAAAAAAAATTGAAGTACTTTAGATTCTCCCTCCCCAGATCCATTATCCTTTCAAAAATGTGACACACATCCTTCAAGTCAATATTTTATATTTTTGTTACATACACATTTGCATTATATTATTTTTGTTTTTAAATGTTTGCATAAATGCCACCATACTGTTCTAAAGCTTTCTTCAATGCAGCTGTTTTGCATTCAACCTATTTTTTAAATCTATCTTTATTGTCAAAGGTAAATATATTGCTTATAAATTTGAACTGCTAGGTAATATTTCATTATATGACTAGACCACAATTTATTTATTCCTTCTGAATAACACCTAGTTCTTTTCAATTTCTTCTCTTATATTTAAAGAACACTACAGTGGATATTCTTAAAATATGACTTCCTGGAGCACATTTGCAAGAATTTCTCTGGACAATATTTTTAGAGGAGAAATTCGTGGATTATAAGGTATACACAATTTTAGTTTCACTTGATATTGCCAAATTACTCTCCCTGTAATGGGTGTACCGATTCACCTGTATGAATGAGAGGTCTTTTCTTCACATGCCTACCAATATTTGGTACACACACACACACACACACACATACACACACACATGTATAAACATACATACACATAAACACATATTATACACCTATACATACATGAATATTCTGGATATGAATTTTTGTTATTATGTTTCAGATACCTTCTTTCAATCTGACTCTTGCCTTTTAAACTGGATTATCATACAAGTTTTAATTTTGATAATAGTCAAATTTATCAGTCTTATGCCCTAATAATTGTGCTCTTTTTTATCTTATCCAAAAAGTCCCTTTCTTGACTCTGTCATTGTGTTGTTGGATAGTCACTGTTTGCCCTTCCAGATTCACCCTCCACCCTTCTCTACTCTGTGCTCTGTGCCAGCTGGACTCATTTGGCCTCTATCTTCCAGCTGAGTCTCGCCAGTGGGAAACATCTGTAGATTGAGAGGCAGGAAGAGAGAAAAACTGAGGTATTTGCATTCCTGATTTATTCTTTGCCATACGAAGTTTTGGAAATATTGCATTCCTCTATCTCGGGTTGAGGTCCTGCTGAGTAGCCCTTTTCTGTAGCTCTGGCTTTCCCTTAATTGATCCCTTCCCATTCCCCTTCAAGCCTAGGGATTGTAACAGGATTGTTGGCTGTCATCAGTCCCAGAAGAATTCATGATTCCCTATTTGTTTCTCTTAACTGTCCCCATAGCTCTGTAAGTGGTTCAGTCATTAAGCTCTCTTTGGTTACCACTTTTGAGTGACTACCTGTTTCCTGCCCAGATCCTGATCAATATAGTCATCAATATTTTCTTATATATGTTCTTCTAATAATTTCAATGTTTCTTTAGAGTTTGTTTATGCACAGCACATGAGGTCAGGAACTAATGTCATTTTCCCCCATATATATGGAAAGCCTTGTGTCCAGCATCACTTATTGAATAGTTCCAGTCTTTGCCACTGACTTACAGTGGCTTCTCTATCATACACCATGGTAGCACATACACTTGGGTCTGTTTTTAAGTAATTTATTCAATTCCAGAAAGGCAAGACCCTTAACCTCTCCATGCAGATGGTACAGGTGTGTATTTCATATTGTTGTTGTTGTGAGGATAAAGTGAGTTCATACTTATCTGTTACTTTGGTCAGTAGAGGGCACACAGTAAAAGCCAAAAAAATTCAGCTGTTAGTGTCATCATTAATATTCGTAGGCCTTTGCATAAATCCTGAATTATTTTAATGACTCCAGCTTTATAATTAATGTTGGTATCTGCTAGCCCAAATATTTTTTCCTGTTTTCTTTTAAGTTAAAATTTTCTTAAATATTTTAAGCATTTCCCCCTTAAAATTATATCAATTATTAAAAATCATTAGAATAATTTTTTTGCTAATAAGAATAATTTTTAATAGTTGAATATTATTCCATCATATGTACATATCTTTTTTTATTTTTACAGGATAAACAGGTAAGCTTTATACTGTCTTTTGAGAACAATATATTCAGTCTCCGTAGAGACTGTCAAAAATTGCCAATGCTGACTATATTTCAAGTCTCGGGGTATCGGGAAAAGTTTTTAATTAGCAATAATTGCGCCTCGGATAAACCTCATTGGCTATGATACTGCCACTGAGCAAAGTTATACGTACATATCTTAATTTAACTCTCAATTTTTCTGATGTGGGACCTGTCCCAGCTTTTTAGTATTGTCAGTAATGTTTTGACAATTATTTTACATAAATTTTTATTTGTATTTTATATTATTACTTAAGAAAGAGCTATTAATCGGGCTCCCTGCTCTGCGGGGAACCTGCTTCTCCCTCTCCCACTCCTCCTGCTTGTGTTCCCTTTCCTGCTGTGTCTCTGTCAAATGAATAAATAAAATCTTAAAAAAAAAAAAAAGGATAGAACTCTTAAAGTAGGATTAGAGTCAACATGGGTAGAACTCAGGTTGCTAAGGGTATTGAAGACCAGATATTTCTTACACTTTTGAAACAATAAATTGTTTTAAAAAATCTGTCAGGCTGGTAGCTTCTGGATTTAGTGTGTGACATGACCAATGACTCTCATAATTATATGTCTACTGCTGTATCTCTTTTGCTATCAAAGTTAGAGGCAATGCTATGTGGAATTGTATGCCAGTATTCAGATACTCCCTAAGTCTTACCTGATAGAGGCTGAGATCAGCATTGAGAAAGGAAAATGTATACTTAGAACATGATTCAATTGCAATAAGGAAAAATTGCTGACCTTTTCAGGAAAGAACGGATCTTTTTACGGTAATCAACTTATCACCAAGTAGCTGATTCGTTTCCTCCAAGATAGTAATATACTGGAGGTGTAAAGTCAGTCTTTGTGGCTCATGAATTGGACATTCAGCAGCAGTAAAAGATATATCAGCCTTGTTGAGAGATCCATGGTGGTAGGCCATATATAGCTTCTGTTCCACCATAGCTACCCCACACACGAACCCACTGCCTAGCACTGAGGTAGCCAAGGACAGAGAGTGACCATCATTTTCTGGACTAATTATTCAATTCACCTGTATGCTAATGTCTCTTCTGTAGCAGATGCTCCCCAGTGTATGTTAACATATGATACTAAGACTCTTACACTTGTGCCAACTTCCATTGGTCCATCAACATGCACTCTCCCTGACCTTATGGCCAATCTTCCAATCTTACTCCTCTGGGCCCTAACCAACCACTAAAGATATTGACCCCCACCCATAAATTCAAGTAAATTCTTATCTCAGGCACTTTTATTTCAACACAAAGTAGATCACCAAATGGTCATTAGGAATATTTCTACTTTGCCATTATCTTTCAGAAGTACCCTTAAATGGGACTGTATTTCAGTGGTAATCCATTTCTAGTTCACCAACATACTAAGCCATGAATCAAGCTCATTTTTTTCTCTTCCAGCAGTCAGTCATAGGCAATCCCCCATGAGGCCATAGACATGAGTTAAAGGAGAGGCCGTGTGCGAAAATAATGAGTTTGAGAACTCCTTGGGCCTGAACTCAGATGTATCACCTTTACTGTACAGTGAAATAAAACTGAGCTTTAAGTCTTGGTGGGTCTGCAGCACTCATCTCATGATGGCCAGCCTGGTCTGTATAGTTACAGGATGCCCCATGGTACAGACACTCAATCTCTACCAGGGTCCAGAATAATACTGAGAGCAAGTTTTCAAGTGGTTTATAGTTCTCTGCTGCAGATGACATGACTTTGCTCTAGAACCCAGGAATCTGTGCTGTGACATTCCTATTGTGACTTGCCAGAGACTCTATGTGGCATTTTTATCTTCCAGCAGATCCTTCTAGCATGATAGGATTTGCCATGTCTATAGGGCCTGAGTGGCAAGTACAGGTGTGATTTCAGGTGAATCCCAAGGCTTAGCCTGAGCCTGTAGGAAGGTCTGGAGTGTAAATAACAACACAGGGTCTATTGTGTTTCCAGGAAGTAAGCTGGTCTTTCATATTTCTATATCAGCCATTGGGTTGCTCCAGGTTAGGGGAAGAATAGGTAAATTCTTGAGCACCTCCACCTCTAGTTGTCTATGTGAAGCAACTGGAGTAGCCTAATAGTGGTTCTTGAAGAAATGTGCAGGAACAATCTAATAGCAGTGAGTACACTGAAGTAGAAGGAAGGTAAAAAGGCTGTGGGCGGGATCTGATCAGCGTACCAGCATCCTTCATTATAGCAAGCCCATTCATGGAATTACCAAAGGCATGAGTAGATGGGGCCCAAAGGTCTGATAAATGTCAGATGCCATAGCAAATCCTCCAACCAAAACCAATCCTTGATACCAATAGAAACATGTATTAAACCCAAAAATCCTATCTAGCCAAGTTTGGTATTTTTGTATAGGATATATATAGATGCATATAATATCTGTCAATCTCCTAGTTCTTACACTTTTTCTCTTTTGACTTCTTGTTCATAAAGGAATTTTTTATGTGCAAAGTTTGTTCCCTTTATGCCTTGGAGTTACTTTTCTTTATTCTAATTTAACAGATGACATTTGGTTTACTATTAGTATTATTGAAAATCTTTAGGCCTCATGATATTCCATTTCCTAGGATTAACCCTAATAGTTCAGAGTGAAGTTGAAATTACTGATGGTATTTTTGTCAAAATAACTTTTGATTATGGTTGATGTTGCAAATTCTCAGTAGTCACACTATATGGCTCTGGATTTGGAATGGTGATGGGTATTCCAGTGATGATATAATAGGAAACTATTTGTGATGATGACAATCCTGAAGGAGAAGGAACATGTGAACATAATGTCATTATAGAGGGATGAAGGTTACTTTTGTAAAAATAGGACAAAGCAACTTGTTAAGTATGATAGACCCAAACAGATAAAAATGAATATACTTTTGGTGATAGCTATTTTATAAGAATTCTCTATTTTCATATAACCTTGAAGAAGATTATGTAGTGTTTAGGGTCACATGCTCAGAAAAGTTGTGATAAATATTACGACATTTTAAAAGTATAGTTTAGTCATTGGGCTAATCTCAAGTGAAAAATGAAGCGATTTGTTCTATTAGACCCAAGAGATCACAAAACCTAATTATTCCATTGCTTCCTCAGGCATAATCTCTGTGTCTGTTGATGTAAGAAGCTAATTCTCTGAGGATGCTATTAGTAACTCACTTCTGCACTGTTTGTCCCACACTGGAAATAGTGCAGGTGTTATAAATGTCACTGTGTTTCCAAAGCACAAAGCTCCATTAATCTTTTATATTAATGGTTTATCAGGAAATAATGTTGCTAAGTGGTAATAGGATATTATCAGGATAAGTCGAATAGGATACTGAGGATTTTTTAGGAACAACATATACTTTCATGCCTCTGTACCTTAGTGTGTGCTATTCCCTTGGCCCAGGTTCCTCTTTATCTCTCTTTGCTATTGCATTTCTGCGTGTATTCAAGGCCCAGATCAAATATCAACTCTTTGAAGCCTTCTCTTTAGGTACTCCCAGGTAAAAAGCACTCTCTTCCTCCTCTTTGCTTATGCAAATATTCCAATACTTAACAGGTTCTGACCATGTGCCTCTCTTTAGTTCTGTGCCTGCTTCTCATCTGTCTGCTCTATTACATTTCAAACTCTTAAAAGTGAACCCTTCTCATCTTTGCTTCCTTGAAGCCCAGAACAATGCTTGGCACACAGCAGTCACTCAATGAACGCCTATACCATGTGTAGTTATTTTTCTGAAGGGTCCTTTCGATTCACCCATGCCTTTATCAGTACCTGTCAATATGGATACCTCTTTGCAAATGTTTGTAGAATCGAACAGAATCCATTTACATGTAAGACAAATATTTGAGGATTATTTTAATCTTCTTAACACTCTCCAAATGGCACTAATAATAGTAGGCCGATGTTTATTTCTGTTGCTACAGGCAGTCCATAATGGTACTCAGGAATGAATAACTGGCTTCAACTTTTTTCAATAAAAGCCTATAAACTGAAGTCGCTATTCATGTATGCTGGAACTGGACAATTAAATAAATGGATGGTAGAAGGTGGGAGACAGGTTTCTCACTGTTGGAGTGGGACATTACAGAAAAGCAAGGGGAGAAAGCCAGAATGATCCATGTGATAATATATTAGAACTAGAGACATCAGTGTGAACTAATGTATAACTTACTATAAATAGAGATGGACATATTTATATATATAATATATATGCATACATATATACAGGTGTGTGTATATATGTATGCATATATACACACATATATATATATTTATACACACACACATATAAATAAGGATTTGTTTCCACATATGTATTTCCTTGCTTTGTCAACAGGGAGGTCCTAGAATTAAAACACCCCAGTAGCAACGAGCACATTTACAGCCCAGATCTTGATGTCTAGTACCATTCTCCAAAACAGGAACCAGGCATCCTTGGAGAAATGGCTAATTATAGAACTGGAACAGGAAATACAAGATGAGCCCAGAGCATCCTACAGTGCAAGAAAGTAAGAAAGTCCTCAAAAAACCAAAAATGATGGGAATATGTCAAAGGGGCACAGAAGTCAATGAAAACAGCTCCCGCTAGCCAAAGTGGCAATAATTCGAGGAACAAAATAAATTAGTATTGGATTATAACCCGAAGTATAAAATAAAATCTCTAAATCCATACCAACATAAATAAATGATGGATAAATAAATAAGCAAAAAAGACAGACTTTCTCTGTAGAAGAATTCCAATGATTTATGGTACTCCATTCTCAAGAGGGAAGAACATCGTTCCTTGATCTTTAAGTGTGGGCTGTTCAGTGACTGCCTTCCCAAAAGTATAGCATTTAAAGGTGAGAAAATAGAGCAGACACCTGACAAATAGTACCTCAGGCAGGTGGTGAGGAGCAACATCAACAGCTCTAAGTCAGGGGGATATTATGTCGTGATGAGAATGACACCTAACATCTGTGGGTCATCTTTGATCTCTTTTGGGATCTTCTTTTCCAAAACCCCAATTTAATCATGAAGAAAAATGCCAGAAAAACTCCCAAACAGGTACCTTCTACAAAATACCCCACCAGTATGTTAAAACTTACAAGATCATCAAAAATAAGGGAAGTCTGAGAAAGTGTCCTAGCCTGGAGGAATGTAAGAGG